ATGGTAAGCTTCCAATAGAAGTGGACCACAGTCATGCTTTTTTTTGTGTGTGTCAGGAGCAACCGCTCCTGTTGTGAGAGAATTGGCCGTCTGCAAGGACGTTGCCCGGGGGATGCCCGGATGATTTTTGATGTTTTATCATCCTTGTGGGAAGCTTCTCTCATGGCCCCGCATGAGGAGCTGGAGCTGATAGAGGGAGCTCATCCGCCTCTCCCCGGATTCGAACCTGCGACCTGTCGGTCTTCAGTCCTGCCGGCACAGTGCTTTAACCCACTTCGCCACTGGGGGCTCATGCTGAAGGATCTAGTGCTTCTCAGAGAGGTATTCTTGCAAATTAAAAAAAAATAGCATTTTAAATTTGTTATTTGTCAATTCCACTAGGGACCTGTGGCCAGAATCATTGCAAATTTGGATGGTTGACTGCATTCTTCACTAGTATTATGTAAGATGTTGCCAAGGAAGCTAAAGCATCTGGGATCCCTTCATCTCTCCTACTGGCTTCTCTTTCGTTTCACAGGCAAAGGCTTTCTCAGTACTGATGCTTTTAATTAGAGATACCAGTGATTAAGCTTGGGATCTTCTGCATACAAGATCAGTAGCCTTTCTCAATGCAGCCTAGTCCCTTTTTATAGAGCCAATGTTTATCTTAAGATGACTATTATGGTTTTTAAAAATATTTCTTTCTGGTTTCTTTCTTGATCTTTGGCTTTCTAGCATCCCTAAGGATTATTATGCATTTAGGAACATGATAGAGATCACTCACAAGCCGTGGAGAACAAAGCCTGTAAAAGTCCCCCGTGTACAATTGGCTATTTGCCTATGAGAAACCAAACCCTTAGGGGAGCTAATGCTTTTATAGTAGCAATAAATATCACTCTTTCTCTATTTTATCCCAATATGCTTTAATTGAATAAAGTATTTTTTGCAGAATATGTGCACAGTGAGTTAGTCATTTATTAATTTGGGGTGTTTTTGTAGTAGTAAAGTTTAGAAGCAGGGCTTCCTTGAATGGTTTGTTAGTTACTGCGGGAACTATATCAACAAAAGGAAGACAATTGAGTGAGAAACTCTGATAAGATAAATTTATATCCTAGGTTAATTGGTGGGAAAGAATCCGTTTCTTCAGGAGGAGAGTTCAGGCTGATTTTTGCATGCCCTACAACATTTCACAGTTGAAAGAGAACTTCACTGGCCAAGCAAGATCAGGATGTGGTCAAGATGGCAAACTTTATGAATGAGGGATGAAACACAAGCTAGAAAAGACTGCTTTTGCTGTTGGCTGTTTGTACACCATAGAATGATTGCAAATTGACACCATAAGGACTGTCATGGCTCAATGCTGTGGAATCAAGGAAGTTATAGTTCTATAAGGTCTTTAACCCTCTCTGCCAAAGCGTGTTGGTGCTTCACCAAATTAAAAGTTCAAGGATTATATAGCACTAGCTGTCCCCTTCCACACATTGTTGTGGCCCAGTCTGTGTACATATGTTTTGTGTGTGCATATGTGTATATATGTATATATGTGGATTTGTGCATGCATTGTAATGTCTTTTTTATTTTTTAGGTTTTTAAGTCTCTTCTACTGTGTTTTTCAGTGTTTTTTTATGAGTGATGGTCAGTTGTTGGCCTGATAGGTGTATTGTGCCCAAATTTGGTGTCAGTTTGTCCAGTGGTTTTTGAGTTATGTTAATCCCACAAATGAACATTACATTTTTACTTATATAGATTGAGTCATGGCAGGTCAAAAGGTGTCTACAAGGAAGGACAAGATTCTATTCCTTCCTTTCCTCTCTGCTGAGTGAACTGAACACAAACTACTTTTGCATTTTGAACAGTGGATGTATCTACACTGTAGAATTAATGCAATGTGACAACACTTTAATTGCCAGAGGTCAGTGCTACAGATTCCTGGGAGTTATAGTCTTACAAAGCCTTTAGCCTTTTCTGCCAGCGAAGGCTGGTGCCTCATCAGATTCCAAGATACGGGATTCTATACCATTGAGCCATGGCAGTGAGTGATATCAAACTACATTAATTCTACAATATGGATGCACTGTCAGTTTGAACTCATGGAGGTAAATTAGAAACAAAGTAAAAAAGGTGGAAAGAAGAGAGAGAAATAGGGTATTTCAAAAGTTTCTGAAAAAGTGGAACTGCAGATGATTAATCTCTGAAAAATAGGGACAATCAGATGATACATTCCTTGGCAAGAGGGACTTGCAACAAAAGATTACAGTGAAAAATACTCAATTCTCTGGCTGTCTATAAAACAACCAGAAATAGCAGTTTCCAGGTTATTCCATTTCATTCCCTTTCCCCACATTCTTCTTCCTGGCATAGTAAACATCTTATGGCCATTGAGGGCACATCCAGACAGAACAGAAAATGCTCGCCCTCCTGGATTTTTACATGGGGTGTCCAAATGTTGCCCCATGTAAAAACTATTGCTTTCAGGACAAAGCAGGAAAATCTTCTTTGTTCCAAAGTAATTTGTCAGCTGGAAAGGCCCAGGTCTTTCCAGCTGTGGGCAGTGTCTGGATGTGGGCAGTGTCTGCTGTCCACACAGCCCTCTCACATTTTCCGGGCTTTATGAGATCGGAATATTCAAGAGGGTTCTAATGCCTTTCCCACCCCACCCCCAAAAAGACTTTAAAAAGGAAAATAACTTATCTGGCCACCATTCCCACTTCTCTGGAGCTCTCCTGGCACATAGAAATGGAGCACCAGGAGAAGGGGGGAGGATAGCTCCTGTCCTCCTTTTGCTGGCACATTAGGGAGAATGGCAGTCAGGTAAGTTATTTTTTCTTTTTTAAAGCTTTTCTGGGGGAGGGGGTCATGCCGCAGTGCCAGTAGGGCATCGGGATACCGGCCACAGAAAAGCATGAGCTTTCTAGGGCATGTGCAGACTTTAATGCAAGTCCAATCAGATTTTTAAAACCTGATTGGGCTCGCATTAAAGTGTTGTGTGGAACTGCCCTGAGTGTTTTCAGTCTCCCCCTTAAGTTAATTCTTTTCAATAAATATTTTTATACTTTTACAAAACTGTAAAAATAGTGTTTGGAACCCACAATAGGCTATTTTTCCATTGTAGGTTCCAAACAACAGTGATGATTGCTTTAAGAATTATTCAAGTGTCTATACTTCAGCTGGCTCAAGTCTTAGAGCAGTCAAGTGGAAAAGAGCTGTGGTGTCCATTGCTGAAACATGTTGACACTCAAGTTGGATACTGACATATTTACCAATTCCTCCAGGGTTGTGGCTGTATTATAGCATGCTTATAAGGGCTAAAATTCAGCTCGAGTGTCTTCTGAGATGTTACCAGTTTCTGGGCTGTAGCTCTTGGCTTGTGCTCATTTACTGCCAGCTGCAACAATAAAATAAAAATAAAATTATGGACAAAGAATCACAGGAGACAGAACTGACAGAAGGAAGTACTTTTCACAGGTGCTGATTTAACTTTAGGAATTCATTGCCTCAAGTCACTGGCTTAGGTGTCTTTAAAAGGGGATTAGAAACAGATTTGTAGGATTCATATATTTATTGTTTATTTTGCTGTTATATTTATCTCCTCCCTTCCCTCCTGTGCTATCAAGATTAGTGTACATTGTACTCTCATCCTCACAGAAAAAGTAATTGGCCTTTAATCACCCAGCCAATCTTTTTAGGCTATCTCCAAGATCATCCAAAGTTCAGACTACAATTACCAATGTCCCCCATCCAGCATGGTCTATAACACTATTATGCAAATGCACATTTTTTCTGTTTTAAACAATGGATATTTGTTGGATATTGTTTACAAAGCTTATAAAGTTTCTTTTTGGGATTGTAGCTCCCTGAACACACGCATAGTTATAATAAGACCCCCATATCCAAGAGGCATGAGTACCTGGCTAGATTGCAGTTACAACAGTCCACATACAACTGAATGTCATTGATGTACCTTACTTCTGATCCCAGCACACCATAGAGTTCTGCTGGAAGACCTAAAGATTTCTAGAGAAATATTTTCTCCAACACAACTCAATGGAAACTTATATGCGAGTATACTATAGAAATCCTGTTGGACCTAGCAGCTTCCTAAAGAGATCATTTCTTCCCTGGGTAGGTGGAATTTCGGTTTTGGGTTCTGTGGTTGCAGAAATTTTACTCTATGCAAAACTCCTGGAAATTCTCCTCAAATGTATGGCCCCTTTATGTCTGCCTACATTCATTAAATTATGATACGGAGGAAGTGTCATTAGTTATTAGAGACAGTCCTTGTGTTCTGAAAGCTGTTCTTGGTAAAATACGAGATTGCTTTCGAGAGGGATGTTGAAAGCGATTCCCTTTAAAATGAGTGAGCAACTCAGGAGGGCAGTTTCTACCTTATAACTCTGTGCTTATGCAGTTTGATTTTCTTTGTTTGCTGATACACTATATAACCCTTGAGCATTCATCTACCATTGATGCTGCCTTGAGTGGAGGGTTCACCTCAGCCCAGGGACCCCAGGTATAAGAAATTTATTTATTTATTTACTCTATTTATATCCCACCTTTCTCTACCCCGAAGGCAAGTCAAGGCAGCTTTACAAATGGCAACTATTTGATGCCTTTAGACAACAGACAAAGATAAAAGGTTTCTGAATTCCACCCATGGCAATAACATGCATTGTTTACAGTTGACTCTGCTTCAGATATACTCCACAAAAGAGAAAATCAGCCTGTTTAGCAAGCCTTGTAAACGTTGAATTATTTTGAATTGGTGTTGGATCTTTATGCCTATTATATATATTTTTTGTACCAGGGATGACATAAAATTTTATCAAGTTTAAGGTTTACGAACCTTTGCATTAGAGGACCTAGAGAGACTCACAAAACTTTCAGGGAGAAAGTTTTTGCAGTGTGGGTATGAACATCAAATTCAACCATGAACATCAAATTCATGGATAAGGGTGTCGTACTATACATTATCAGTGAGAACAATGCCATGGATGTAACTTACTTCTTACTTTTTATTCTAGGTACTTACCAAGGTCAGTTCACCAATGGCATGCGGCATGGTTATGGCGTCCGCCAGAGTGTCCCGTATGGCATTGCGGCTGTTGTCCGCAACCCTCTAAGGACCTCCCTCACCTCTCTCCGTAGTGAGCACAGCAATGGCACCCTGCTGCAACATGACTCCCCAACTGCCAACCTGGAAAATCTTCCCATGACACCGACTATCACACGGGGAGGTTTTGCACTCAGCTTGTACGCGGATGTGGATGCTGCCAAGCTGAAGAAGGGAGGTCTCTTCCGTCGGAGCTCCTTGTTTGGGAAGCTGAAGAAAGCTGACTCCAAGACTTCCTTGACCAGCCAGAGGAGTCGACTCAGCTTCCTCAAGAGTGAGAGTGGCATGAGCTCCGCTGGTAGTGATGCTACTTCCACTGCCAGCCTGGGAGAAGGAGCAGAGGGAGAGGACTTTGCACCATTTGATGCCGATATTGATGCCACCACTACAGAGTCCTACATGGGCGAGTGGAAGAATGACAAGCGCTCGGGGTTTGGTGTTAGCGAGCGGTCGAGTGGGCTGAAGTACGAGGGCGAATGGCTAGATAACGTACGGCATGGATACGGTTGCACCACGTTGCCTGATGGTAAGAAGGAAGAAGGGAAATACCGAATGAATGTCCTGATCAAAGGCATGAAGAAGCGGGTGATACCTCTGAAAAGTGCCAAGATAAGGCAGAAAGTGGACCGGAGTGTGGAAGGGGCTCAGAGGGCAGCGGCCATTGCCAGACAGAAATCTGAGATTGCAGCTTCTAGGTAAGAACCTGGGGGTTGTTGCTTATTGTGTGGCTGTGAAGCAGAAACCACTATTCCATATTTCATGTTTAAATGAATCAATGTTTCAAAGTATAAGATCGAAGTATGCGTGTGCTTCTGGTGGTGCAGTGGTTTAAACCACTGAGCTGCTGAACTTGCTGATCAAAAGGTCGAAGGTTTGAATCTGGGGAGCAGCATGAGCTCCTGCTGTTAGCCCCAGCTTCTGCCAACCTAGCAGTTTGAAAACATGAAAATGTGAGTAGATCAATCGGTACCACTTTGGTGGAAAGGTAATGGTACTCCATGCAGTCATGCTGGCCACATGACCTTGGAGCTGTCTACAGCTCTTCGGCTTGGAAATGGAGATGAGCACCCCCCCCCCCCCCCCCCCCCCCCGTGTGGGACATGACTGCACTTAATATCAGGGGAAAACCTTTACCTATGCATATGCATATGGCTTGGAAGTAACAGGCCACAAATAACATTAAATTTTAAGAAGTTACAAGTATAGTAATCAGGATAAAATAAAACTAATATTCAAAAGTAATTTTAGGGATAGGCACAACATCACCTGTAAGTAATGTTTTCTGATTATGTTCAAAATGTTGTTTTAAATACAATTTTTAGAAGCATTTGGAATGGATTTTTCAAGCTTTATACTATTTTCTTATCAATCTCAATTTATTTTTTTACTGTAATAGCTAGTAACAATCTGGGCAATGCATAAATCAATGTATTAGTTTTCAAGTTCTGCACCTAAGGACAACAGATAGAATTTCAAACACGGTTACAGGCAACAGGGACCAAATTTAGTTCAAGCTCTGGGCAAGAGAGACATTAAAATAAACCTTGGTTTTTGACACATTAAATTCAAAATACCCAGGAACAGAATAATTGCATCCAGGTGATAAATCTTTGTGGCTGAATAGTTTTGTGATCTAATATGTTCTGACAAAACTGTTATACACAAGGATGGATGGAGACCATCAGAAACATAATGGAGAATTCAGAAGGCACAATGGTTTTTTAATTATTGCTTACGAATGATATAGCTGTCAATAGGTTAATGAAGACATTTTGTTTACATGGGGCAATAGCTTTTGGAAATCACCCATTTGAGGAGCAAGAGGCATATGGGAAAATTAGCGAAATGTGAACATATGAAGGCGCCTTTTTATGGTCCATTCTGGCCCAGTTTTGTCATGGCTGATCAGCAATAGCTTTCCTAGCCTTAAATGAAGGATGGGAAGGCAATGCATAATCCAGTAATCAGGCTTTCATGGATCCAGCACATTTCTGTGACCAAAAAAATACAGTATTTGTGCATTTTAGGTTGACTGCTGGATGTCGTGCCAATATAATGGCACCAGCATTGTATGTAGATAAGGCAACAAACAAATAAAGTTGTGTCCAAAATAAAGCAAAAAACAATTAACAAGTTGAAATGTTTAAGAGCTTAAGGTTGCATGGAGTTTATATCCCAATAGTTTTTAAAACACAATTAGAGAGATACAACCTCATCAGATGGGGTTTGGGAAGTGTCCTTGGATGCTTCTTCTCCAGTCCAGCAATCCTTCCCATCCCATGACACTGCTAGACTTTTGGTGGAGGCCCCGCCCACAACTGGACTGGAAATGTCATACAACACTTCCTTCCCAATATGGGGGCCTGCCCGTGTTGTGGTGCCTCCATGGAGCTAGCATAGATCCTCACTACTCAGGTGACGCTTCCCACATGTGATGGGGAAAGTGTCACCATGAAGGAGCAGTGTGTGAGGCACTGAATATGTTCAGTGGCAAAGTGGGACATTTTGCATGGCTCATGTGATAAAGTCTAAATATGCTAATGATGATGTTAAAATGTAAATATGCATAAATCAATGGATAAATCCATGAAATGTGTGGCTATTCAATGTCCGGATGTTGTGGGGCTGCAATGTCCATAATTCCTAATCATAGCATAGTCAAAGGTGACGGATCAATCAAATCCCAGTCCTGTCTTAACTGGAGATACTTTTCCCATCCCTCATACAGTGCAAACCTTTTGAAAGATAATGTTGGTAGTCAAAATACATTCAGTGCTTGTTCAGTATGAAGTGATTCATCTTTATTTACCGTGACTGCATGTCAACACATTATCTGCCTTAGGACCTCTTTTTTTGGTGCCGCTGATGGGTGTTTATGACTTCAGCCATGGAACCTGAAGGCTCTCATCACACCCCAGATAACTACTTCTGGGCTGGCTCTGTGGCAGAAGTTGAAAACTCCCACTGCAGAAAAAAAATGGTGGTGATGGATAATGGCAGGCTCCCCATTTTTCCATAGAGAAAGATGGATCGAACCTGCCAAAAAAAAACAAAACAAAAAAAAGGCCTCCCCATGTGATAGGGCGGGGGGAAGCCATGATGGAACAGGGTGTGAGGTGATAGGTCTCCACACGCAATAAGATGCCTTCATTCCAGCCTCACGTCTGACAAGGTTCCTAAACAAATGGCCTGGAATCCACTTTTTGTGAGTCAATACCAGTGCTGTTGTCCAGTGGTACAGGGTATGTTTTGGAATTTTTAGATTCAGGGCCAGTTTTTTCATTTGGCCATGGGGAAACAAAGTATAGCCTTGTTGGTGGCCCCCAAGGTTGTTTTCATGGTCCTCAACCTCTCAGACTTGCCAGTTTCCTGGCAATCACATATATTTCATAGTCTTCTTAGACAAGGCATACTTAGAGGTCTTTTTTCCCCAGTGTCTTCCACTGAATTATAGCCTACAGGATGTCATATTCGTTGATTGTCTCTTTCTACAGGCAGGTGATACATGGACTGCATAACCAGCATAGGAAGGTGCATTCTTTTTTATTGTTATCAGTGTCAAACTGGGTGTATTCCAGAGATCCAGCCTTCTCAATCTGGAATGATTACTTTTTAATATCTATAACAAATTGTGAACAATTCCCTTTTCTTTGATGAAACAAAATACAGAGATGTGCTTGAAAGGTGCCTGGATTTAAAAGGAAAGATTGGAAGAGGCTTTTTAGAAATATGACAAATGAAATATTTACTTGACTGTGCTGTTACATTTCTAGTTGATAGCAAATATATGATTTTATCTCAGTATATCCACTGACTTTTGTAAGATGGCTGTTTACATTATTTTGAATTACAGGCTTTTGAATGTACCATTTCCTTAACTAATGTTTACTTGCTTTCAGTACTTCACTGTAATGAAATTACATATTTAGGTATTTGAAACCCCAAGACAGAAGTCAGCCACGCTCCTATACTAACAACTTTAGTACCTATGGAGACTGATCATATCACTTAGTCTTATTTAGAATTTTTGCCTCATTAACTTTTTTATCTGTAGTTCACATTATTCATGAAGCAACCAGTGACTGGAAAGTGCTTAGATGTCTGCTGTGTTAATGCTGTTTGCATAATGTACCAAACTGCTGTATTTTACAATTTTTAAAAAATAAGTTCCCATTATAACCAAGTTGAATAACAGGAATATCTTCACAGGTTCTCCTTTAATAGATTGTGTTCATTTATTTATTTATTTTGTCTGATCTTACAGATCGTCCATCTGTCAATTTATGGCAATCACAGGGAATTTTTTGTGTGGTTTTCTCAGGCAAGGAACACTCAGAGGTGGTTTTGCCAGCTCGTTCCTCTGTAATATAGGCGTAATGGGTTAAACCCTTGTGCCGGCAAGACTGCTGACCCAAAGGTTGGCGATTCAAATCCAAACAGCGGGGTGAGTCCCATCTGTCAGCTCCAGCTTCTCATGAGAGAAGCCTCCCACAGGATGGTAACACATCCTGGTGTCTACCAGGCAACGTCCTTGCAGACAGTCAATTCTCTCACACCAGAAGTGACTTACAATTTCTCAAGTCTCTCCTGACATGAAAAAAACCACCTGGTATTCATTGGTGATCTCATGTCCAATTATTAACCTGAGATGACACAGGCTGCACCAGTTTGCTTTTACCTGAATCTACTGGGAAGGGCAAGATTCCACCCTCTCTTCTGTGCTCTTCTGAGTTTATTGAGTGTGAATTAGTTTTGCCCTTTGAATTCAATTTGCAGAAACTGAAGTAAGCTGAAGGCAGATAGGATGAGAATGCAAAAGAAATGAAGATGTTTCAAAAGCATCTAAAAAAGTAGAATCACAGAGGCTTAATCAGGATTATCCTTGCCAAATTGGGAAAGTTGGAAGCAGGCCCATAGCCAGAAGAAAAAAACAAACAAACACCTGTGTGTGTGTGTGTGGGGGGGGGGGGTTTACACATTTTTTAAGCAAATCATGAAGAGTAGGTCCATAACACAAAATAATTAAAATTATATGATTAATTCTGTATTTTATATTGACTTAAATAAACCTGAGGGTATATTGAAGTGGTAACTGGAGTGTAGATATACAGTTGGTCCTCTACTTTTGTGGATTTGATTAATATGGCCTCCATAGGAATCACTCAGTTCTCCAGAACAATTCTGTGATCACACCAGTGGACCTAGAGATTCCCAGAGATGCGTTCCTCTAGGTAATTTTTTAAAAATCGCAGTTTCCCCACTTTTATGGAATTGTGTCTAATTTATATGTTAAGGCAACTCTCCAAGCTCTGGTCTGAACATCAGACATAGAACAAATACAGCAACAGTGGCAATACTAAGAAAAAGCATGACTTCATTAGCAGAATCTTGGCAAGGTATTCAGTGGCAGCCAACAGATCTTCGCAGTAATAGATCTTGCTGTAGAAGAGGTAATCAAACACCTTTTCCTATCAACAAAGCCCAATATTCCTGTGAAGCATGAGCAAGGAATTGCTTTAGCTTGGATCTCAAGAGTTGCAGCAAGAGAGAGCCAACCTCAATTCTAGGCCAGTGGTTCTCAAGCTATGGAATACCCAATGTTGTTGGAGGGTAGGCAGAGTTCATCAATGGAACAAAATACCCAGCACCATTTCATGTTACACAATCGTGACACTATGATTCTGCTTCAACTGTC